AGTACGGACGCCTCAAAAGCTATCACAGCCATATCGTCCCCGGAATTCTATTGTCTCATGATAATGACCAACGAGCTATCAATCAAATCCCAAAGCGGCCTATTGTGGATTCCATCTAATTTATTGCTCCATCATAAAACATTTCTTCATTTATTACGCTGGAGTGGTCCCTGGGAATTTTTTGGTCAAGTTTTGAAGGAGAATTGGACGCTTATTTGATGTGCTGTAATGCATCTCCGACAGCAATCTAATATACACACACTTTTGGCTTGAAATTAAAATAATATTCGGTGAGAAAAGAAATATTGGAAGTTCACAAAGACACACAAGTTTCTGACACAAAGACTTGGCACCGTTCGAGCTGGAATTCCAGAAATGGTCCTGAAGAATCGTTCGTTCATACGAACTTTCAGAGGGTAGGAATGTAATTGTTTGTCTTCTTTTATTGTATAATCTTTTAACGCGCTCAATTAATACCCAGAAAGTTTAGGCTGCCATTCCATTGACGCCTCGCCCCTGATGAAGGCCCCGTTTCCCCACCGCAAACGCAGCTTCCCCTCCTACCTTTTCACCATCTCCTTCGTCATCTTTGTCATCTTCCTCTACGGCGAGGACTTCACATGCATCCTGAGCTCTCCGTTCCTGGGTTCCCAGCACGCGGAGGTTCATCCGAGGCCGCGGCAGCAACAGCTACGGCAGAAGCAAGGTCTGCTAAGAGGTAAGCAGAGAAACGTTTGTGTTCATGGATCAGGGTCGTGGTTGAGGCTGACTCGGAAGCTGCATTAGAGAAGGATGAGGCGGTGGCGTTCGCGGTGGGGAAGACGGCGGAGGGGTGCGACGTCTTCGAGGGGGAGTGGGTGTACGACGAGGTGTCGAGGCCCCAGTACGCCGAGGAGGAGTGCCCCTACATCCAGCCCCAGCTCACGTGCCAGGCTCACGGCCGGCCCGACGCCGGCTACCAGCACTGGAGGTGGCAGCCGCACGGCTGCATTCTCCCCAGGTATATGGCCGGTGCCCGCTCCATCTTTACCATCGACTTCATTGCGAACCATCGGATCTCGTGAAGCAATGCTCTTTCCTTTTCTTTCTTCTGGTTTCGTTGATTGATTGACAATGGGCTGAGAAGGTTTCGTCCGTGGAAATGGTCCATCCTCCTCCCTGAAGATGACAGGGGGTGTGGTGGGTTTTGTAAGGACCGTAGCCGGCTTTCTCGTGGCGTACCTTGCAAGTGTCGCCTTTGGAATGTTGCGGTGTCAACAGATCAAGTAATTCTTTGTGATGTGCAGCTTTAATGCCACGCTGACACTGGAAATGCTCCGAGGCAAGCGGATGCTGTTCGTCGGCGATTCCTTGAACCGCGGCCAGTTCGTGTCGATGGTGTGCCTGCTGCACCGAGTCATCCCAGAGAACGCCAAGTCCATGGAAACGTTCGATTCCCTCACCGTCTTCACCGCTAAGGTACGAGTGTCTCGCCAACATTTCTTGCGATAGCAATCCGCATAACTGAGCCACCTCTCCGGTGATCCTTGTGCTAGGACTACAATGCAACTATCGAATTCTACTGGGCTCCGTTTTTGGTGGAATCCAATTCGGACAATGCCGTCGTTCACAGAATCACTGAGAGGATCGTTCGAGCAGGGTCCATCATGAAGCATGCTCGGTACTGGAAGGGAGCTGACATCGTCGTCTTCAACACCTATCTTTGGTGGATGACGGGCCAAAAGATGAAGATTCTGTAATCTATCACCGAATCCCATCTACCTACAACTGTTTATTGGTGTGTTTGACCCTGTCTGTTCGTCTGCAGGCGAGGGTCCTTCGACGCTGACCCCAAGAACATCACTGAGATGGTGACAGAGGACGCATACAGACTGGCGTTAGGGAGAATGATGAAATGGGTCGAGAAGCACATGGATCCTCACACAGCCAGAGTGTTCTTCGCCACCATGTCACCTTCTCATGAAAGGTCAGCTACTTCGCGATCGTGAGGGCTCACATGCCTCTTGCCATCTTTAATCCCTCATGTTCTTCATCCATCGCTGGATGCCTTGCAGTAGCAAGGAGTGGGGAGGTGACCCTGATGGGAACTGCTACAACGAGACGACACCGATCAAGGATCCGACATACTGGGGAAGCACCAGCAAGAGCATGATGCAGGTCATTGGAGACGTGTTCGGAGCCACTAAAGTGCCAATTACGCTGCTGAACATTACCCAGCTGTCGGAGTACCGCAAAGATGCTCACACACAGATCTACAAGAAGCAGTGGAGCCCGTTGACGCCGGAGCAGCTAGCGAACCCCAGAAGCTACGCAGATTGTAACCACTGGTGCTTGCCTGGCCTTCAGGACACTTGGAACGAGCTATTGTACGCCAAGCTCTTCTTCCCATAGCAGAGAAAAGCTGGGGAAGGCCCCAGCTAAAAAAGCATGAAGCATCACCTGTGTGGTACAGAAATTTATTGTCGTTCGTACGCCTTTTCCTTGGCTTTTCATTCCAAACTACTACAGATTAGGCCACAGAGAAATGCTTTACCTAGAAACACTTTATCGTCTTCACCCACATTGCAAGGGGGAAGAGTGCAGGGTTCCAGGGAGAAGTCAGAACATCCATGCCGGCAAGTGCTCGTCTCTCTTCAAATTCAGGCTTGCGTTATTAAATCGAGGATTATTAGAAGAAAGATTCGTGTTTGCTTGTATTGGTAGCAAGATTTCAGCCGCAAAATAAGGCAGAAACAAAAACAAACGATGGTTTCTCAAATTCGCAGGATATTTACCGTAAATGACACCAATTATTGAGCACTAGAAAGACAAAGAGGAAATAATCGACGATTTTTTGGCTGGATTTTGTTAGATTTACCGTCAAATGCTGACTCTGATCTGCGTCGTTAGATGTTATAATAAATATACAATCTTGTGCTTTTTATAGCATGGGCGCAATCAGATTGGATCTGCTCAGAGTCGGTCAAAGGCACGTCTCTGAGTCCATAAAGGATATGACATTGAACACGAGGCTAAACCCAACGAAGGATGTCGAAGTCAAATATGGAAACTTTCGTCGCGTTCTGTGCATAGAGTTACACATTACGATAGGTTTCATCGCTGAAATGCAGTCTTAACTTCTTTCATCATTAATCGAGCAACGAAAACGTCTGCAATTTGATTAAATGGTGTGGCATAGAATACAAAAATGTGTAAGTTATCTGAAATTGTGGTAATCAACTGTTAAATTGCAGCTGTTTCAGTAGTCTTGGTGGAAAAACACAACTAAAACATATGTATACTTGTTGACTTCGAATCCAAATGCTTTCTGCTGACTAAGATTCCAACCATCTACTCACTCGTGTTAACCATTTTGACTTCAATTCGAAGCATCATAGTGTGAGAAAAGCTAGACGGGATTGCATGATTGTTTTGATTGAGATGGAATCGATGTGTCTCTCTCACATCATCACCTCCAAGAACATCTACGAGAAGTCTCGTAAATGCCGTGACAAAACTGGGTTTTAACTTGCAGTCCTTCCGCTTCTAATACCGGTCCAACACCAATGGTGAGGAAGAAACCCATCGAATCACGAGAGCTATCAGCTAGCAGCCAGCCTGCGGAGGTCGTCACATGGAGTACAGGCTAGTCACATGGTGGGAGAAGGCTGATATCTTAACTGGATACAAGTAGCAAGCATGGAAGATCCTGAAACCATGGCTGCTCAATCACTCGAGTCAGATTGTATGCGTAGATCAGGACAAGAAGCTACCTAGGGAAGACATCCGTAGGCCGTGGACTCTAAAACATCAATCATCCTGCAGCTCTGCACTATAGGCTCACATGCGTAGCCACTGCTGCAATAAGCCCACGACAGAACTCCCCAGATCGAGCCCGTAAACTTTGGTAGAGAGGTCCGATGCACACACTGTTGGCGGAGCCCTCGACGGGGCGGGGGCGAGAGGAGAGGAAGGAACAGAAGTAGGTCCTCGAGTTCCAGGGTGGACGAGAGACTCAGTGGAAGACATGACACTCGTGCTGCTCTTGAAATACCAGGGTTGGATCTCTCATACACCGATGATAAACTCGGAATATGAGAACTTCCAAATGAAAATAACTCAATAGGAAGGAACAGAAGTGATCAAATCGTAGCAACTTGCTTGGGGAAGAAAAAAAAAGATACGGTGATGAAGACGTGACGGTCTTTTTCCCATTGCAAATACAGTATCATCCTGCATCGAGAGGGGGTTAACGTCGTCAGCAGGACTGCTCTATTAGGATAAAACTACATCTTCCGGCAGAAGAACAAAGAAAGAATATGACTTAATTCACAAGTAAAAGGCTTTTCTACCTCATAGACTAGTGGTTTCGTCTTCGCCTCCTCTATTCCACCACACAACCCACGAGAACCAACTATAACTACACCCCAAAGCAGCCAAGGTTGAAATAGTTCTTTCTTCTCCTGCTTCCTCTTCCTTGAAGTGATTTCTTCGTGACAAAAAGTATAGAAGAATCTGTAAAGCTCAGGAGGGATAGCGCCATGGATGATGTGGAACATGAATTCTGAAAGCTTTTGGTGATTCTATTTGTCTAATGCGCTATCTATCCTGAGTTTAATGGCTTTTTCTTACTCAACTAAGACGAAATCGATAAATGAGTATACCCATAAGACTGGTTGGGCATACGCAATTGATCATTACTAGCAGCTCGGCGAAGTAACTGCGTGGTTTGGTTCGTCTCCGTACCCAGTGTCCAAGAGTGATCTGCGTCCATCGAACTTTGAGATCCGGGCTCCCTGCACCTGTGGATTGATCATACTCCGTTTGAATTTTGGTCCAAAGTTGATACTATTGGTTGGTTGCACCGACGCGCAATTTCAAATCCTGGATTTCCAAACCATGGTTGCCACCACAAAGCACGTTCTTTCAGATCCTGACCGTAGATCTATGCCTTAAGGATCACGTTAACTTTGATTCACGATGCTCCTCGAACCACTGTACCGAGGCTCACCGCCTTGCTTCATCTGAAGGGCAAGCGAAGTTGACACCCATAAGGGCAAGCGAAGTTGACACCCATAAGGCTCACCGCCGTCGTCGGTGCTGCCCATGTGTGATATGCCGATTCGAAGCTCTTGGCTGCGATGAGGTTCTTTTTATTGCGTTCTTTTTCTGTTCTAGGGTTTCTTCGAGCTATTACTTTTGGTCTATATACATACATCAGACTATAAGTTGTTAATTTCTTTGGTTATGATTGCTTACAGTACTTTGTACCATCGTTCTTTGATAGTTCATCTGTTGCTTGTTACATATGTAACCCATATGATTTGGATCTTACGATAAGATTCGGATCTTCTTTTTTCATCTTAACATTCTCCTTTTTGGGTATGAGATATCTCTGGCTACAATGTTTATCGTGGCCTGTGGAAATGCTAATTGATAGCTAGATCTGATATCTATTTCTATCTCCGATAAGTAGATTTATTCAACTTCAGATGCAGATTTGAAATTGTAGTTGGAAAATAAGATCTAGAGTTGACTAATGAAGTCCTATCTGTTATATGTATTACTAAACTCACAAGCAGAAGCTGCGATTCAAGTCTCCAGCTATTCATTTTCTTAGGAATTAGTAAGTTTCCTAGCTTGTAACTTGGAGAACTCTTCGATTTGATGTAAGAATATCGTATCTCTATTACATATTTGTTACTCAAGGTAACAAACTAAATTTTCCATTGATTGATGAATTCTTTGATTAGGCTTTTTTTTTGGGAAGAAATTGGATCTCAACCTGTCCTAGATATATCGTCTTTGATTTCAGATATAGGTTAGGGAATCAAAATGAATTCTAACTTTTGTAACCATTGACATAATAGTTGGAAGTTGAGAAGATGTGATTACAGTAGATCTTCTTTATGTTATAGTTCAAAACTGATGGAGTAGGCTTTTGATTTCAGATATAGGTTAGGGAATCAAAATAATTTATAACTTTTGTAACCATTTAAAGAATAGTTGGAAGTCAAGAGGATGTGATTACAATAGACCGTCTTTATGTTGTTATAGGTCAAAACTGATGGGGGTGGGTTTCCCAGTTTAATATGATGCATGTAGGCTTATACCCCGTGAAAGTCTTATACAACATTATACTGAGAGTAAATCTCTGCCATCTGCTGTCTATGTTTGATTAGACAGTAAAAGCTGTGGATTTGGCATATTCTTAGAGTGATGTTGTGTTTCTGAGACACAACAGAGTGTCATACAAAGTTTTCTTGTGAGGTACTGGATCTTCTAGGGGCATTTGTTTGGTTCACTGATCACATATGTGATCATAACGTTTTATGCTAATAGATTGTGCCTTTTTGTGATCATAATGGTATGTGCTAATAGGTTTCGGCTTTGTTCTCTACCTGGAGTCAACATCTCAACCATTCAACTTTTTCCAGTGACCTATGTATGGCTTTGTGCACATGCTTCCCATTTTGGAGTTCCTGAAACAGGATTTCTATTTTTTTATGCAACTCAAACATGATTATTACTGTGTACATGCATCTACATAACCAGAAATACCTATTCGTCAATGCTAACTGCGTCACGACAATCATAACATACGGTTGAAAGACAACTCAATGGCTTGGATTGAATGATCTTTTATGTTGTTTCTTCTCTTCTCTTCGTCCTACAGGTCTTCTCTTTTCTGCTAGATATTTGCGTGAAAAATTAGTCCAGAATGAGCCATTATTTCCAGTATGTCCTGGCTATGCTTCATTCGTTGTCATTGATCTCTATCAGGTGAAAGCACACACGTTTTGTGATTTCAACATTATGTAATTTGAACAGTATCTGTAGGTCATGCTGTCACTGCATAATAAACTTTTGTTTTCTTTCTCTTCAAAATTGAGCATTGATATATAAATAACAAAGAATAAGTTCACGAATGAAAATGTTGTGGGGGTAAAAACTTGTGTTGGGTTGGGAAAACGACGGAAGGAATTTTATGTTTTTGTCATGTGAAAAGGTTGTCGCACTTAATCTATGGCCGCGCTTTGTACTGTTTCTGATTTCCTAGTATACACCATCTTTTAAAAGATTATCTGCTTTTCTCTCTTCACCGCACGTGCTGTGTGCAGAAACTGTGGTTTGGTTGAATCTCCTGCTAAGAAGAATCATCAGCACGTCCTGCAGTTTGCTGCTACCGCCATGTGTGATCGGGTTCCCAAGAGTGCTGCAGAGACTAACAAGTGTGGATGCAAGTTGCACATGATTCCAACAGGAAATGAAGAGTTCAGTGAAATGATGAATTGTAAAATGGTGCAAGTCCCACTAGCGAAGATAGCATTCATGGGCTTGAAAACAGACCAAAATACCGTGCACTTCAATTCTCCTCTTTGGGTTATCACACCATTACTCATCCAGCATTATAATCACTGCACAAAATGGTTGATATAGCAAGCTAAAAAAGAAATAAAGAACAGTTAATTGCATGGAAAATTAAAAGTATGCAATATTATCAGCGTGGTCGCTTCAATGCAAGCTAACTTCCGCATAAAACTTAACTAGAAAGCCTTCATACGTGATTATTTGAAATTTTGAATAGAGTACGTTTTTATGGATAATCAAAATATTTAACACGAAGTTGACGGAGGAAAATAAAAATCTCCGATAAAAAACCTTTAAAGTGTATACATTATCCGATGATGTACATGAGAGCAGGAATGCCCAAAAAGAACCATTGATCGTCATCCACAATACCTTGCGGGGATGATATATATGGATAAGGGTGATAGTCGACGCGGTCGAGAGAGCCCAGCAAACGCGTGTCAACTGGGAAGTCATTGTGTGGATAACTGTTACGCTGAATAGCTGTTACCTTACCTAATAAATATGAGAGTGAATATCTATTGTTCTCTGTATATTTCACTGTAGCGCATCTGTGGTAATTTATGATAACAATCAAGGTCTCTCGAGATCTCCCTCAATAATATTCAAGATCTCCTCAACTACATAAGGAAATATCATAAATTTATTGAGAAAAAAATTTTCTCTGTTTAGAAAAATTCTCTCTTCTTACATGTATAAATAGGGGTATTGTTTCAAACTCAAGAATATCTTCATATTTTATTTTTAACATGGTATCAGTGTAGTAGCCCTAGTGATCTCAGAGCACTCTATGCTTTCGCACCCAGCCTCGACAGAGGAATTCGTGACTGGTCGGCTGCTAACTCCACCCGCTGTTGTATTTGGCTCGGAGTACATTGTGCTATGTGAGTACACTGTGTTAGGATCAAGAGTCAGCACTAAGAGGGGAGGTGAATTAGTGCAGTGGAAAGATTACGTCTCGATTAAAATTTCGTTCGATAAAAACCGTTTCCGATGAAAATCTTTTCGTAAAGATCTTAACTTGAAACCCGTTTGTAAATGTAATGAAAGTAGTAAGCGATTAAAGAGGTTTGCAGTAAAGATAAATTGCACAAAGGAAATGCAAACAAGATTTTAGAGTGGTTCAATCAACATGACTTATATCCACTTTCGGCTTCCTCCTTCGACGAGGTTACCGGCGTCCACTAGAGGCCTTCCTTCAATAGGCGAAGACCAATCATCTTTTACACCCCTTTTCTCCTTTTCACGGGTTTAGGAGATAACCCTTACAAGCATTCACTTACTCCTTTCTCAAACTAGTCTAACACTTAGAAGAGGGAGAGGCGAATACACAAGATTTTAGTAGTGTTTCTTTTTTTTTTTAACTCTTTGTGCTTATGTATTTTAACCAGGGATGAGAGGGGTATTTATAGGCTTCAAGTTGATTCAAACTTAGAGCCTAAAACTTTTCCATCCCGGGTTCCCCGGGCACGTGCGGTACTACCGTTTGCGTTGGGCGGTACCACCGCCCAGTGTCAGTCTAACACTGACACTACCTTGGGCGGTACCACCACCCAGTGTCAGTCTAATACTGACACTACCTTGGGCGGTACCACCACCCAGGTCTAGCATACCACTGCCTGGGGGGCAGTGCTCAGCGGTACCACCGCTTGACATAGTCTCGAAGATTGTGCCACGACGGTGAGACTTCTTGGGGTACCGTTTGGGCTTCTTATTGGGCCCAACATAGTTCTTACATAGGTCTAGCTGGCCCCTAATTGGGTTGGCCCAAATCCAATCCCAATTATGTGCTAACTACGAAATCCTAAGATATTTGCTAAGCAAAACAAGTCCCTATGTCTATTCTTTCGGCGAACTTCTAGACTTCACGATGATCTTCTTGGCGAGTTTCGACGAGCTTCTCTAGCAAGCTCCGAGACTTCTCGGCTAGTTCCTCCAGAACTTCCGACGAACATCTGGACTTCCGACGAACTCTCGAACTCCCAATGTAATCGCGTCCTTGACTCTAGGACTTCATTTTTCTTCATGCCTTGCTATCGTAGTTAATCCTGCACATGTAAAAACACACTTCGATCTATACTATTAATACTAAGCATTAATCAAGTTGCCCGACATGTCATTGGTCCCTCGATGCTTCGTCCGATACTTCGGTGCATCGTCCTCTCTTGCGGCCTATTGCCCAATCGACTAGTTGACTTCGCAACTCCGATATCCTTGGCGCAATATCCGCTCTTCTTGGCCCGATACTCGAATCCATGGCCTGAAGCCTTTTGTCGATACGTCGACCGATCCACTAGCCCGACGTTCAATCTTCTGACATGTTCCTCCGGCCCAATATGATTTTTTCTGCTTTAATTGTCTCATCATGATCGAAGCATCCTGCGTCACTCAAAATACAGATTAAAACATAAACACATATCAATTGGTTTCATCATCAAAATACGAGATTCAACAATCTCGCCCTTTTTGATGATGACAACCAATCGACGACAGAGTTAACCTTAACTTCCAAAGTTTAAACAAACTCCCACTGTCAATATGCCGTATTGATAGAAACTCTCGGATTCAAAAATCCAAGCAAAATGTCATGATCAAATCATGCATGACATCAACATACTTCTCCCCCTATATCATCAACAAAAAGGAAAAGATCCACTTTCTAGATGTTTGACATAATATTTTCAAATCATTGCATAATAAATCTTGAAGTTCTACCATCATGCAATTTTGATATCATCATAGATATGCAAGGTAGTGAGATAGCAATTTCTATAACATATAAGCTAGTAAATTTTACAACATTTTAGAACATGCGAGCTAGCAGTTTTGAGATGTTCAAGAAACAACACTTGCTTCTTGAAATATACAAGTTGCAAGCTAGCAATTTTTTGCTTCCTTTGCAATGTTTGAGCTAGCAATTTTGCTTCCGTTGCAAAGTGCAGGTTAGCATGTTTTGCATCTTGAGATAGGCAAGATAGCACTTTTGGTATGCAAATTTATAGTATGCAAGCTATCAAATTTTACACATAAAAAAGTTAGTAAAATTTTACATCTTTTGAGATGTGCAAGATGGACTATTTTGCCTCTTTTTGAAATGTGTAACTTGGCAAACATTGCTTCTCTTGAGATTTGCAAGATAACACTTCTTGCTTTCTTTTTGAGATTAGCAAGCTAGCAAGTTTGCCTCTTTTCGAATTGTGCAAACTAACAAATTTGCTTTCTAGCAAGTTTTGCTCCCCCTTTGTCATTGTCAAAAAGAAGGGAAGACCCTTTACATCAATTTTCAAATTATAACAAATGTAAGGTAACAAAAATGAAAAATCAAGTCATGAATATCAAAGCAATTTTTCATCATGAATATTTCATCACTGTATGCATCAAAATAATATCATGAATGTTTCATGCATTCATATCATCATATGAAGAATATCAAAAAGAACTTGATGATGAGATATACTTCATAAATTCAAAGAATTTTAC